TTTGCTGCTCTTTGCCTGTCGTTGCATCCCAGATCTTGATGGTGTGATCGCCTGAGCCTGAGGCGAGGTAGCGGCCATCCGCTGAGAAGGCTACCGACCTAACTGAACGGCTATGGCCACTTAGCGTCTGTAAACAAGGGCTCCAATTGTATTCCACTATAGGCTTAACCTTTAGCCATTGCAGTTCTTCCTCTTTAAATATTTTCCGTATTAAGCTGTTCAATGGACTGAATATAAGCGCTGACGTATATACCTGGAGTGGACTATCCGCAATCACCAAACTGTTCCGCTGAATAAACCGTCGTGAGTCGTGTACGAGTTCTAATAATTGGCAGTCGGATGATTGGCAGCCCAGTGATTTTCCCTTTGTTAATCAGCTTCGCTTCACTTATTATAGTGCTTCCGGCTTACTCTCAGTAGATTCTCTAGCCCTATCATTGAAAGAATCACATCCTCTACATACCCCATAAGGCCTAAAGCCTCAAGCCAGTACAGGAAGTACTTTCGAAGGAATAGGAAGACCTCCTGGCACTCATGGTTAACCTGGTCCTTATTACTGTTATATATATAACAGAAATGGTCGACCCAATGGACGCAGGAGTAACGCACAGCGGCTAGCGGATCTGGATCTGGAGCCTTTATATTATTGATTGAGGTTCCAGGTGAGTGTAAATTATAGATATTCCGTTGTAATCTGGTAGACATAGCTTGTATTGACCGCACAAAGATGACACCATGGATGTCGGCGGAGTTAGAAGGGAAAATAGTAGATGCTGCTTTGCCACTCAAGTAGTCCTTGGCTGACTGGTGGATAATGTAAACCCGGCTGTCTCTCATCGTGAGAAATGAGCCACAAAACCCTATTGCCTTATGGATCAACTCGGCATCTACAGGATCATTGTCTGTGGACTCAATAAGGGTGCCAAGCTCAGCCAGTGTAACAGGCTGATACACGAGCAACACGGTCGCAAGGATCTGGTAACAAAATTTAGCATCGCTATCCTCTAAACCATATATTTGCTCCATCATCCTCTTATATAAAGAATCAAGTCCAGGCGGAAACTTATTTAATATTCGGAGAGGACTTTGTAATGAAATCCTCTCTAGGTTTTGACAGACCAAGGCTACCCAGAGGAAGGTATTATTAGAATTAGAGGATAAGTGGTGGTAAACAGCATCTTTGGTTATAGTATTGTATTTTTTTTTCTGGGCTAACCATTTGACTTGGTGCTTAATATATGCATCGACGGCTGTAGAGATGGACTTTTCGTTGAGCTCTAGACACAGCCTCATTTGCTGAGTGGCAGAATCAAGACGCTCTTCAATATCTGGCCAGTTGCGACTGGACACTATCCACTTAACGCGGGAAAAGAGAGTGGACTTTGTATTGATGAAGTCGAGCAGCTGTGGTAGGTCGGTCACGCATTCGTCAAGTGCATCAATAATTATGTATGTCCGCTCCAGGCTTGCATTCTCTAAGATTTTTGAGAAGATTTCGGATAATGTAATCCATGCATTTACATCTTTAAAAATCGCTTCCCCCCCATCCTTATATTTTTCTTGTATGTGGGAGAGATGTAGCGGCTGCTGCTTCACAACCAGGTACATAAGGCCCCGTAGCACGGCCGTAGCGCTGTTGATGCGCTCGTCGGCGGCCTGACAGAAGAAGTAGGATAACAGTGTGTTGGCTTTCTGGTCCTTTAGTCTCGTTCCGGAGATTAACTCATTCACAATGCCGCAGAGCAACATCGTCTTGCCCTTGCCGGGATCGCCCTTGATCCAGAGCAGGCGGCTGCATTCGTCATCGCGCCATCGTCGGAAATCACTATGCTCGAGGATCCAGCGGTATGAATCTTTAAATAGGCCGCCCTTTGTAGCCTCAATACGAGTTTTATCGTCGCGGGGGTCCGTTATGCGTAAGTCCTTGAGGCATTTCATATCGTCTTCTTGGGACTTCTCGTTGGTCGAGTGGTAATGATTATCACCCTGGTGGATTCTAGCATTATCTCCAAAGCAGTTGCTCGTAATATCGCGCGAGTATGGCACCGCTAGATCCATTGTAATCAAAATGTTTCAAGAGACTAAACTTTATGACGCGAAACAAGACCTGTGACAAAATGGACTACGAGATCTTCGAATACAGTGAAAGGCATTGACTGAGTGGCGAATCACAAGCGCTATCTGAGATTATTGAAGGGAATAAACTGTACAAGATTTAATGCGCAAGACCAGGAGGGAATTATAGGGCTAGCAGCATCCGGCTGAAAAATTGCAACCCGATCGTTGGGCAGCTTTAGAATATGTTTGGCTGCCATCCCATTCTGCCTAAAGATACCCCTCATATGCTACGTGTACAAGTACCTGCTAGAGTCTATTAGAGTCATGGCAGCATGTGTACCAATGTATCAGCTTGTTTCGCGCGAATGTGTCGCTGCAACGAGATGCTCTTTCACGGAATCATGGCGATAAGACAAAACACTATAATATACATATATCATTGTCTCTATGGCCCGCTGCTTTGGAACGTTATCTAAGACGTCTTTCTCTTGGGCAGCTATCATGAGAGGTGGCCAGTAGTAAATGGATGATGCACAGCTGTCTTACAGTGCCCTACAGTACCTGCGGGGTACAACTGGGCACTTAAAGGTACTAGTCCAAAAAATTGCTGTCACCTTGTTACAAAATTAACTAAGCAAACCCGCGACACCCATTTCGAACTTTGCGGTAGCTCGTCGCACTAAAGCCACCATAGCAGATATTACTAGAGAAGTTGAAGGCGCGGAGCAATGGTAATAGATGTGACACGATGATGATGGGCATTTCTGCGGCCCTGACAGGTAGCTGGTATATCGACAAATGCGTTTCGTCAGGCTGCTGCCTGCTAGAGGTCGACAAAATTTGTACTTGGGCCATGGCTAGATGTAGCCGAAGTACCATGTGCGCATGGTGAGCAATCAGCACTGTAGTCGACTTGTCCGTGCGCTTCGGGTTTCAAAAGAGTTTACTTGGACAGGACGGCGATTTCGCTCCTAACTGTACTGTTCACTATATTGTCTATAGATCTTCCTAGCCATCCGCCAACATTAAACAAGAACCGAATCTAGGTTTGTCCCTTTTTCATATTGTTTTTGAACAGTACCCTGTTATAGTGCCTAAGAAACAACCCATTTATCTCCTGTTCGAGAATTGAATTGTATTTTACTCACAAAATGGTATGGTTTGATAAAGGTAATTTGATACACAAAATGGTATGGTTTGATAAAGGTAATTTGATACACAAAAAGGTATGGTTTGATAAAGGTAATAGGCAATAGTATTATGAAGCGGTTAGATATGTAACGTGTAACTACTTGAATAAACTTCCCATTGCGGACAGTGTGCACAACCAAGATATCTTGATTTACCCGTTACGCTATGGATTTTCCATCGGCCTTTTTCAGTTGAATTGTAAGATATCGCAATATCGCATCCTCATGTACAACATATAGACCCCTAGTGATGGTAAACCGCCGTTCGAATATCTGGATAAGTGCATTAGCCACAAAAGACAGTTGGTCATTTGTATATGCCTGCCTTGGAATGGCTAGATATAAGAAATCTTTTGCGTTAGACCGATTGCGATTGATTCCAGTGATGGGATTTCCTCCACCAATTACTGTTTCCATTCCTGCTCCTCGAATTCCAGCTTCTACATAAAGCTCCACAGCCAGTGTTTTTGCCACATATTCCTCTCTCGGTACGAGTGGTAAGAATAACGATGCGTCAATAACAATGGCGTGGCCACCAATAGGTTGCTGAATAGGAACATTGGCAGCCATCAGCCTCATCCCGAACCTATGTATCTGACGGATGCGGTCATCCAAGTATTCCTGCTGTGTGACTTCACCCAACCCAACTGTTAATGCCTCCATGTCTCTTCCCGCAAGTCCACAAAAAAGGTTTGCATACTTCCCAACTCTATCAAACAAGTCTTTGTTATTAGTTGCGAAAAAGCCTCCAGCATTAACCAGGCCATCCGTCTTGCCGCTCATTACCATGCCATCGGCATGATGGTACATCTCTTGAACAATATCTGGTATAGACTGGCTGCTATATTCTGACTCGTTTTTTTGAATAAACCAAGCATTTTCGGCAAAACGGGCAGAATCTAAGATAACAGGCACATTAAACATTTTAGCAAGTCTTTTTACTTCGCGTAAATTGTGCATGGACACTGGTTGACCTCCGGTTTTGTCGCAAGTGATAGAGACCATAATCATCGGTACATTACTTCCACTGCCTTGGAGAATTTTTTCAAGTTCAGGCAAGTTAACATTCCCTTTAAAAGGATGTTGATAATATATATCAAACGCACCCTCTATAGCACAATCAATGGCAATTGCTTTTTGGCTTTCGATATTAGCTCTTGTGGTATCGAAAAAAGCATTCCCAGGCACAATACTCTCTTCGTTTAGTAGTGCTTGGACCAATGCGTGTTTGGCGGCCCTGCCTCGGTGAACCGGAATCGTGTAGGTAAAACCAAATAATTCTTTGACCTTCTCTTGGAGACGATAGCTAGATGGGGATCTAGTAGCTGCCGAATCACCTCGCATTAAGGCTGACCATTGGTTATCGCTCATGCCGCCGGAACCGCCGTCAGTTCCGAGGTCAAAGCGCACCTCATTACTGCGAAGCTTGAAAAGGTTATAATCTGCCTTACAAATCCATTCCTGCCTTTGATCCTTGGTACTGGAAGGAATTCGCTCAACCATTTTCGCTCTCCATGTTTCAGGCAGATGACAGTCTGGCAGCATTTTAGGCTGTTATTTTACTGGTTATAGGATTATGAGGAGATAAGTACTTATTTCAAAGATAATTACATAAATATATGTATGTAGCATCCATGATTAATATAATGCTTAGTCCCAGACCTTATATTTACTATCTATGCATTTTGTCACGTTTTGTATCCTTGTATTAAGTTTCTTTTGGTAAGAACGGCTTGATATGGCCAATGTGTTTGCTGTTCTGGTTCTACATCCGAATCTGGACAATTGGTCAAGCAATATAATTTGAAGGGAAACAAGGTTATGGATAAATGGAATTCTCTTACCTCCAACATCATATGTGCAGTACTGTGCTGCATGCTCTCCAGATTAAATTATTTTCATTGTCAACAATAGCCTATAGACTTACGTAAATGCTTGTAGAGTCAGCACTAAGCTGATTGCTCCAATTGCTCTATGCATATCTACAATACCAAAGATTTTGCGTCCAATGGATCTATCAACTATCTAAAAGGACATTTTAGGTTGAGGGTGGGTTGCAGATACAGTATAAAAGCAGTAGGACACTCTGTTGGGCAGCTGTCGTGCCTAAAGTGCAAAGCTAGATCAGCTTATGTCTCCATTCAAGTGCCTCACGTTAGTTGGTAGATTTGTTCAAAAGGAATGTCAGAATAAAGCCCAAGGGGACTCTAGACTTTCTAGAGCAAAGACTGCTTTCCTTGCTAAAAAATCTCCTCTTGGCGAGGGTGATGGCTATCTTACAGATGACGTTTCTGAGGAAGCGGAGAGGCACTTTATAAATGACGAATCCTCAGGAACGCATTCTGTTCCAGGCCCATGTCGTCAACTTTTATGGTATATAGACCAATTGATTCAAGATGGTAGGCCGTCTGGCCTCAAATTCAACAATTTTTTTCTTCTAACTGTATTGAAAATGTACCATACTATTGAAGAAGATCGATGTGAATGGTTCAACACCAGATTTTGGCCAAGTTTTGGCGAACGATGGAGGGCTAATAACGAGGATGTGGACAAAAAAGAGGAGTTGAGAGAGACAGAAGAAAAGACAACAGATAGAGAAGGGACGCGGCTCATGTGTGCTATGATTCTCTACGAAGTTCTTACTTATCTCCAAGACTTCCAGAAGAATGGTTACGCACTGAGTTTCAAAGGAGATGATGAGCGGACCTATAGATTTAAACCGGATGATTTCAATAAGTGTATGTGGTACTGTCTGTGTGGAGACCAACGAATAACCTGTGGTTCTACAATGATAAATGATGCTTTTCTATTACAAGTTATAAAAAAATGGAAGTCTGGACAAACGCTATCATCTTCCATAGCAAGAGAATAAATTTATCTGATGATATTATGCTTGGTACAAATAGTTTCACCATACTGCCGTTAAATCTGTGTAGTTCATCAGTTTCGTAGTATGCAATATACGCTTGACACCTGACCACTGGTGCATCCTCAGCGTGAAGCAGCTCTATTGATTATTGTAACCTGAAAAGTCCACCTGCTTGTAGATTTTAAATTACTAGGTATTACACCTTTCAACAGTCGCTACTTGTGAAATATTGGGAAACAGCGTTATATTATAGTGAAAAATTGTAAATGTATTTATACATATATCTTAGAATAAAATACTGCCACAGTATATGACTATATAATAGGAAATCGCTGTGTTCTATTAGAAGAGTGCTATATACTAAATATACTCTGGAGTAGTTTTTACACAAGCTTGAATGAGCCTTTGGAGCCGTTTCTAAGCTTCGCAAAGCTTCTGATGTCCTCAAGGTGGCGCCAAGAGTATGTTAGGCACTAATTTTTGATGGTCACTGGTTGCTGATGGTCTTTGGTGCCAAACTTAGCGTCCATATTTTGTTGTTTGATTAATGAATCTAAAGAGAAAGGAGAGCCACTGATGTGGCAGATAGAGGCCGGGCTCCCTTCTTCCAGGGATATTTCAAAATGATGCTGTTTGGTCGGCAAAGAAAATACTATCTCTTGACGAAAATTACCAGTAGGGTCTGTTTCACTTAAACCTTGGATGGCCCTAGGCAGCATTCCCTCTTGAAATCGAAATCGAAATGAAGCAGAATGATCATGCAATTGACGCATAAAAGTTTCAAACTCTGCAGTTCCGGCTCGCAGCCGACAAAGTATATAGCCTACGCACTCGTAAACACCACTTACAAAATGGGGTGGGCGAGATGAATCTAGCTCGAAAAAGAATAGCTCTGCTCGGTGACATTTCCCAAGTTGTTTCATAGCAGCTGAGCTACGCGCGACTTTGCGCGCAATTCTTGCGGCCTTAACCATACTGTTGACATCGTCCAGGGCGGGTAGTTGAGACTGAAACTCAACATCAAAACGGAAGAACTCGCCGCGATCACCCGGTTTTCGATTACTCATAAGCTGTGCCCAGGCGTTGTCAGAGTCTAAATGCTTCCGAACAGCACGAGCAAGTCGAGCTAGGTATAACCCTTTACACCACGTCAATGGCTTTCTCCACCATGCTCGATACTTGTTCCATTGCGTCCGTTGCTCTGTCCACCTCTCTCGCTGCCTTACACCGCGATAGCTGGTCCGATTTGAGCCTGTTCCAAACGATGCTACTATGCTCGGCTCAGGGGTAGCTGGAAATAGAGCCGCTGCTTCTTTGAGGGCGATAGACACAGGGTTGTTGAAAGTAAGGCCGCCGTCTTGGAATGTTCCTATGCCGTCTAAATGATGCGGCGTGAAATAACTAGAAGAGTTGCATTAGCGAGCCGAATATGCAAGGTTACAAATTACTTACTACGGAGCAGCGGTACAGCACCGGAGGCTTAACTGCGTCAGCATGTGGTGATATTCGGTCTTGCGAAATGAGACGGAGGGAGTGACTAAACACTTACATTTCCCAAAGAGGCACCCTGTGAATTCCCGAGCTAGGTCTGAGAATGTTGTAGTCTTCATCTATGTCAGGTTTGCCTTCAATCAATGCAACAGATGCGGCACTAACCACTTTTTTCGCGGTTTTCACCAGCTACACCATAATTTGTAACAATAAATGTACTCGTATCGTCTGTGCTTGTGAGCGTTACGCCCATACTTATGCCCATTTCACTAGCTTCCCTGGAATTTACAATGCTACAATTTGTGCCATACACCTCTTGTTGGATTATTTCGAGATTTTGAGCGGAGTATTTACTATCGACCAACAGCGAGACTATAAACCGAAAGGTTGGAGATAAAATGGGGATGTAACCAAATAGATGGATTAAAACTTGGGACAATCGACGCTTCTTAAATGCCTCCCTTGAAGATTGCTCGAAATACTTAATGCATTTCTCAATGGGCCATCCATTAAAATAGAGTGCGCAAGTAGACATTGCACCTATTTAATTAGTGTACATTCTACAGATTATTGTGGGAGAGCGCAAAGGGGGTTATCATTTACCAGAACTCGTGCCGTATACAACATCAAAATTTCTCTGCACGGGGTATGGTAACCCAATGGAAGTCTGCAAAGCTTGGAGAAATTCCAAAGGAATACAACCTCTAGCCCCCCCGCCATCTATGCTAAGAACGCGGGTTGTCGCTGTGTCTGGCTTAACTCGGATACGCAGTCCTGCAGTGTCTACTCCACAGAGTATACACTTGTTAACGTAGAATAGCCAAGGATCTCCTGTATTTGGAGAGTAAAAGATCTTGACGCATATCTGGCATACCCAATGCCCACATGGGAGGCTATACATAGGTTTGCGCTGTAGGCAGCTAAAGCAAGACTCTCCACAAGAAGGAAATATACCATTTTCATAGAATTGAGCTAGGTTATACAGATGTAGCTCTTTTGAAGATCCAAGTTCTTCAAATTTAGAAAACTTGCTATGCATTTCTGCCTTGATTAGTGACGAAATATCTAAATTTGGCACTGGGCGACCCGACTCCTGCCGGTATATTTTCAGATTTTCGCTTGCTTGTGCACAACCTTCGCGATATAGGGTGTTAAAAACATCCAAGGGTTTAAAGTCTTATAGAAGATTTAGTTTAGGGCTCATATAGAAAAAGACATAGGGAATGCTTAGCGAGCTTACGATGCATCCCTGGGGGATATTGATCCAGTATAATGCTTGAGGCGATATGAGGAAGTGCGAGCTGTTTCATATTCTCATCATCAAAATAACAGAGAAAGGTCGTCAAGTGTTTTACAAAGTCTGTAGCAATGGGGTTATTATCCCTTGATCTATTGATGTAGTCAAATGGCTCGCAGGAAGACCTGGTAACAATTTCTGACGCGGTATAGAGAAATTCCACAGTGTGTCGAACACAAAAGAGCATACCTGCCATAAGGCGGCTTTGCTGGATGATATCTAATGATCGAAGTATCTCCCTGCGAAGAGCTAGGCACTGTTTTGGCTTCATTTTCACATTCCTGGATCTCAGCTTACGGGTGCGACGGCAAACGGTCACGATACGGATCCGTTGGAAGTAGTCATTTAGTGAAGCGGCATTGACTGCATTTTCAATCTGCGTCTTTTGGCCCCTTGACGTAACAAGGATCAATGCAGGTCTAACAAAAAGCGTTGAAGACAGCTGGCTGCAGCGAGACCACGCATTTAGACGTCGGAGGGTGCTGTCGATACCTCCAACGTCTTCCACGAAGATACAAATTACATCAGAAAATGGTGATATCAGTCTATGGTATATATTATCGGATGCTTCGACTGTTTTCGCAGAGTCTGTTTCTTCCATAAATATTCTATCTTCCACCTGATGGCAAGATTGAAGTTTGCACGACCTGGGGAGCCTATTATGACCTGGCATATCGCCATCGCAAATTATCATAGGCCTTGCATCATGGAGATATGACGCATATAAATGATATTCACCATTAGACTTTTTTCGATCCAATTGACTGTTTCCTGGCTTGAAGTTGGCGATAGATTTGGTCTGGTTGCCGAGTAAAACAACAACGCCAGCTGGCTCGTCCACATTTCGAAAATCCTTAAGGAGCCGCCGAGGTCTATCCGAAGCTTCAAGCATAATATGCTTCCCTTTCCTCCACAATCTTAGCCATCTAGTGTGGTTGCAATTATTTATGCTTGTCATGTTTATATAGCAATGATTGGGAAAAAGAAAATCAGTCTTTTCGTTCCATTTATACATTCCTTGCGCACATATAATTGCCGTTGCTGTAATAGTTATCCAATTGTGGACAAGTGAAGCCGGTTAATGTATTCTTTTGGTCGAGACTGGTGCATAGCTGGTTTCTTCCCGAGCAAATCTTGACGTACAGGTTCTGCCGTATGTGTAAACGTGCATCATTTCTCAATCCTTAGATTAGACATATGCACTTACTTTATGTAAGTGTACTTGCATACTTTAAATGAGCTAAATACCATTTTTACTACTTCTAATGACAACGCTCAATCCTATGATATATAAATCATTGGAATATTCCATTTCGTGTTCAAAAGGGAAAGCAGTACAGGGAATATAAGACGTAGCACTGGTCCATTTCAATAACAGGTACTAAGTATTCATTTTAACATAGTGAAATTTTAGTATATTCTATTTATATCTGCCTTTTGTAATAGCGCTTGATACCAATCTGGCGAACCACTGATGGTTCCAGCTCCTTCTTTATTGTTTTACGGCAAGTCGGGCATTGAATCCACCCTGGTTGAACACGACGCTCCTTCTTCCCTTTACTTTTAACAAACTTGTTCCAACAGCGTATACAATAAGCATGCCCTAGGACTATCAGGATGTAGACTGTGCAGTTTGCCGGCGCGACTTACCACAATCTGTATATTGCAATTTAATACGTAGCTCATGCCAGTTGCTCCAACACATTAGGCAAGATTTCCAATGGTACTGCTGCTTTACCTCATCTTTGTATCTTTGAGCACATTCGGAGCAAATTAGCTAATAAAAAATTATTACATACTGCTTTATGAAGTGAAGTTCGATATCATGCATACTTACACTTCCCCCCATTCGATGCTGAGGCTTATCCAGTGACTCGCCGCAAAGGCAATTCTGCATTTCAATCGTAAGATCGATATATTCACCAATAAAATTTGTTGCTTGCCGTTGAATTTCTTTTTGGTCACTGGCAGTAGGGTTGGCCATTGTTCCTAGCCTAGTCTTCGCCTTATCGTTTAGTGGCAAATTTTCCTTGGTAAAATGATCAAGTGCAGTGACCGTTTCGGGTGTTGGGTCATTGTAAACGGAGAGCCGCCCTCCGTCTTGCTGCTTCGTATCCATTATACTATCTTGTTCTATCGTCGGTGTCGCTTAGGCGTTTCTATCGAATTTCTCTTTCAGAAAGAGAGAAAAATTATAAATACTGTACAAAGGTTAGGGATGTAAATTAGGACATATTGATTGGCATGACCCAGACCTCGTTCGGTGAGCAGTAAGATGGAGGACACTGGGAGGCTTTTGGCTGATGTGGAGGGCTAGGAGCTGCAAATCGCTGTAGCGACTCTCTAGCTCTTATTTCTCCGGTGATGGTTTCACTGCTTAGCCATATATGTACTGCAGATGTATAGTATCATTAATATACTGTACACAAATCCTAGCGTGGAGACTTGAACTTATTAGTGTATATCCAATTCGCCAGATATGACTTGGCTTACGCGGTGATTGAAATGCCCCCCTGGTTAGGTGCTCGGACCTAGTTAACCTAGAATGTCCTACCCAGCGCCGTGACAAGGATTTATCATATTCTGGATATAGGTGTGGAGCACAGTGCGCTAAATACTCAGTATAGTGATAAGAAAGCACAAGCTACATATATGTATGTAATAGCCAGAATTGACTGGCTCAAAACGCTTACGAGTCTTCGGGATACACCCTTTGACTATCAGTCCTAAAATGGCTAATGTTTTGCGTTCTGTGGGTACTTCAGCCAGAACAGAACAAGATGACTGACCCCACTATTTGCGCCACTTTGTTACACACCGTCTAACTATTGCAAAGGGCATGGATCTCTTTTTCACCCTTTTCTCCTATCTTTCCAACCAAAGCCGGTGTTTTAAGCTGCGTTCGGCGACAGATAACAACTGTTTTGAAGATGCTACGGGCTTGTTGACTTCGAATTGTTCCCAATCCAACATTCCCGGCTAGGAGTGTTGACCATAGATTACCGCGATAAAGTTATGACGAAAATGAATGTCAAAATTATACGAAGCATGCAGAAGGAGTTCTCAACCAACATAAACTAAGAACTTAGGTAAATATGTCCCTTGGAACCCACAGTGCTACTAATATTCTAGAAAATACAGTTTGTGACATACGTTTCTACAAAGAAATGAGAAATTTCAAGAGGACAAGGCGATATAAATATAAGAATAGTAGAAATTTACGAAGATGCCTTAACGGAAGGATAGATAAATTGGCGTCTGCCCGAAGTTACAATCAAGCCTCGGTCTTCATTGTCAAAGGCATTGGGTGTTAAATTAATAGCGTGGGGTTTGTCTTTGGCAATGGAGTTCGAGGCTTGATTGTAACTTCAGGCAGACGCCAATTTATCTATCCTTCCGTGTAAGGCATCTTCTCAATTTAAAACAGTTAAATGTTTCCGCCTATTAAGCTTTGGTTGACTCGAATTAAATGATTCTAACTCACTGGAATTTCCAGGTCCATGTTTGATACATAGTCAAGAGCTGATTCAGCCTGCAATGGCGTGAGCAATATTGTATAATGGTGGAATGTTGAGATATTTAAAATGAAACTAGCTACATTATAGGTAGCAATAGCATGTACTCCGTAACGGAATCACTTAGTTCCAGTCATTGCTTTGTGGAGCTTATTTAAGCAATAAGGATCACGTAATTTTAAGAGATAAATAGCTGTATTTGTATTCATATTTCATAGTCATACAGAGTAGCGCCTCCCAGAGACCACATTATCATAGACGCCAGGGTTACAGATAGGGAATTGCAAAATTTCCAGGCATCAAATATTGGAAGAGAAAAAAGTGTCTCAAGGCTAAAAAATCCCCAGATCAAAGCAGGCACTCGTGTATCTCTAGGTTGCTAGCTATAGTATTGATTTGCCAAAAATAATCATCTATTTCCACAGAATGGGTGCCGATTATCGTTGCCCTATACAGTACAGCAAAAGACTAATGAATAAGTATATATGTTTATTTCCTCACATTTACGGTATATTTTCCAGTCAAATTTTACTATTAGGTTTATGTTTAATGTCGTCTTACTAACGGGAATGTGTTTTATAGTAATCATTAATGCTCTATTGGTTCATCGGCTATTGGGCAACATGTCTGCCGCTTGTTTGGCCTTTATTAACTATGGTGAAAGTCTTCGCTTTTTGTTCATATTCATGCTTGAATCTCCATGTGAATTGTGCGATATAATTTCTTCCATTTCCTGGTTGAGATCTCTGATCATCACTTGCTGCTCCTGGGCATTAGCCCAAGCATACCCTAGCAAGGCATTTTGGGTGTCAATAGTTTGGTTTTGGGCCTCAATTTGTTGATCACGCTCTTGCAACTCTCTAGCTTTTTCTAAGAGCGCTTCCTTATTCTGAATACTCTCGACTTGTGCTATCTCTCGATGGAATAATTCTTCATCTAATTTACGCACAAGGTTTTCATTAAGATCCTTATATTCGCGAATCTCATTCTCAAGTTGGCGTAGCTTCTGAAATACGCAATTACATTCTGTGTTTGATGCGCTGACTGCGTTTTCTGTACCCAACATGCTGCAGTTTTAATTATTAAGACAATGATAAAGATACAGTATGTAACTCTGCAGGAATCATATTGTCATACAATGATGAATTTATAGATACTTATACTGCCAAGCGGTGCCAGTAGTAGATATATTGCTTTCCTAATGTACAAATATATCCAAAAACGAACAGTTGTTAACAATAGTGGATCTGTACAATTACGAAAAACACCCTAGACTGAGCGTAATATCAGCCAACAGTACATATGTACAGTACAGTACATACATATGTAAGATGTGAAGTTGTTACTGTAATGTCTTGAAAGTTGTTATGCTTCGGCACGGTGCCCATATCCACGTCAGACCATATTATTTTATGAGCACAAAATGAGATTATCGCCCAACATATTGACTAGTTACCTTATGGCACATGATGTCCTGCTCTCTACATGGAGTTTTCAGGCAACCATGCCACAGTTAGCTTGTGTGGATTAGAATAGAAAACAAGCCATGGACTTGATCAATCAGCAGCATACAGCCAATGAGTCATATAAATATCGGACTATTTTTTATTGTATTAATACCTTAACGATTAATATAGTATCTATATTATGCATATGATTATTATATGTAGGTATAAATTACAGAGAAAGATATTATTATTGTTCATTTTCTTATGCGACATAAGAGTGGGATAAGCTCAATGCTTCATATTGTGTACATTGTAATAAACATATTTGAGCCTGGGAACTGCTTGACACTTTATTGTACCTGAACTATTTCTTTACGATAAGAAGCAAAGGGCTGAGCAGATACAGTAAACCCCTAGCAATGAGTAAGCAGGACGAGCTTCTATACCTTTATAATTTTAAGAAACTATGGAAAACGAAATGTAACCTTTGTGGTTCATACTAAGGTAATATTCCTTACGCATTAATGTACATCAGTTCTCTATTTAAGTAATGTTGCTCCAACAAGGTAGCATTACGTATGTTTGCTCGAAAAAGAACATCAAGGATATCGCCTAAGACAGGCAAAAGTCCAAGTATAAAGTCAAAACCCACGTTTAGGAACATTCTTAACTTAAGTTTAGTCGATAGGTCGTCAATCCTGCAGCAAATACTAATGAAATGTAGAGCTAGGCAGGCATCAAGAAAGTCACCCACGCTGTAAAACATTAGCTCACATCGGAATAAGAGGCGCTCAAGACTCACACCGGCACTATACCAACTAAGCTACCTAACCCAATGGGCATACCAAGAATTCTGTATTCATCTAGTAGCTTAGCTTGTTTCCAGACTTTCTCTAACTGTAAATGATGCTCGGGTTCTCTGATATTTGTCTGTTTCATTTTATACTGATGTATGCATTCATTTATTATATTTGGGATAAAGGATTGTGTTTTATATTATTTTGCAAATATACAGCTTTCTCCCCACTAAGACTCTCCTTAATTATAACCTATAAAAAGATATCTTATACATACATATGTACTTTATAAGATTCATAGACTATATTGTATAAATACCCTGCATTTCTTAAAGTAGAGTCAAATATATAGAGAAATATATCCACTTCTGGCCGCACAGGCGCTGTTATATATACAAAAGTACTATTTATTTAAAAGTATAAGTATATATAATAGTTTATACAAAAACCTTTTCCCTCCTAAGAAGACTTTTTTTTTTAAATTATTATTGTACTCCTTGTATTTTTCTTTGAACGATACGTACTGTTCGTATTGTCTTGCGCAGAAAGAGCTGTTACGACCTGGTCCTCTGTAACTACAAATCCTTTACGGAGTATAGGCAGCTGGTTCCGTTACAGTAACTGCTATAATAGTGGTTATTGGCCTAATCTTTTGCCCTGTTGGCTTGACAGTATAATGGATTGTTATTGTCATAAACCAACTATATAAGTTCCCTTTAGTACATACCTCTAGGTAAACCATAGATAAGGCAACCAATTAAAAGAAAAGACTGTACTTTTAGTAAAGTATATACCTACTTATAAAATAAAACTATAACTTTAAAGAAGTATTTTTATTAAATATAATAAAACTTATATAAGTAATAACTATAAAATAATTTACTATATAAAACTATTTATTATATTTATTAAATATAGCTTAAATAATTAATTATAAATATAATATTTATATAATAATTAAAATTAAACTTTTATTTAAAGTTATTAGCTATATAACTAAAACTGCTTATAAAATCTTTTATATCTCTCTGCTAATATAAACCTAATATTAAAGTTTATCCCTTAGGAATTAGTTACCCTATACCAGGTATAGGATAGAATGTTTTAGTTATACAATAACCACTAGAAGCCGGTGGCCTGGAGTTCGATTCCAGCTTGTTGTATGTTGCAAGACTAGATAACTCCCTGCTGCTGATAAGGCCTATAGTCAGCGCTACAGGGAGCGTTTAAGTAGTGCCTTAGGGGTTAGAACAGCTGTAGCCATAGGTGGCTATAGGGCTTAAGGACAAGCCCTAGGGGGGGAGAGTATTATATTACAACCTGGTCCTCTGTAACTATAAATCCTTTATAGGCAGCTGGTTTTATTACAGTAACTGCTATAATAGTGGTTATTGGCTTAATCTTTTGCCCTGTTGGCTTAACAGTACAACAGATTGTTACAGTATAATAGATTATTATATTAAAGTAAAGAATATAAATAGCTAGATACTGCTATTATAAGCTATTAAAAATAAATATAAGGCTATTATTAAGCTGCTGGTTAAGGAGGGAGCTAATATTAAGGCAAAGGATAAATATAGCCAGATGCTGCTATTATAGGCTGCTGAGAGGGGGCATGAGGCAATTGTTAAGCTGCTATATAAAATCTAAATAACTACAAGACTTCACCCCTCTTGTCAAATACTAGCTTTATAGCCTGCTATAACAGTACTCCCTTTACTTTGTAATTTTTAACTTTATGGGCTTGTGCCTGTGATTATGGTTTGGCTGTGACTGCATTCTCTCTGATTTTATTACCTTTGTCGAGAATGGATCGAAGTGGTCCAAGGTTTTTTATGCGCTTGATCTAATGGCATCACATGCCTAGAGCAGGATTGGAGCCACATGGAATTCAGCCGAAAATAGACTAGAACTGTTAGGTTGTTATAATATTGTTTTTCACACTGTACAAGCCACAAACCCCACATAGTCCGTGCGGAAAGAGATTAAATATGAACAAAGCCGGACACTTATTTCGGTTTCTACTGTACCATTAAGCAGTAACTGTAACGGAACCAGCTACAAGGGATTTTGACTGTTACAAGGGACCAAGTTATAACACATAGTGGTTATTGACCTAATCTTTTGCCCTGTTTGGCTTAACCGTATAACGGATTGTTACAGATAGTAGCATAGGTTCAAAAAGGCTGTGGGATCGGTTGTAATAAATTGTGCTTTTTAAACCTACAACATTATTACAAATAAATTATTTTACATAGATATTGGATATGGCCATTTTAAATTACTTATTTGCATTTACCACAGGCTTTTTGCCACTTCATTTTGCAATATGCAAGGAAAACTTTACACTCGTTAAGCTTCTGCTTGAGCATAATGCCGACCCTAACTGTCCTAATGAAGATGGAGAAACTCCGCTTTATCTCGCGACTATAAGGCGTAACGAGCCTATTGTTAAGTTACTACTTAAAAAAGGCGCCAACCCTAACTGTGCTGATCACTATGGAGGGAATGCGCTTAACTTTGCAACAGAAGAAGGCTATGAAGATATAGTTAAATTACTTCTTAATCATGGTGCTAATCCTGACTATGCTGGCGAGGATAGAATTACTCCGCTTTATCTTGCAATATTAATTAAGAATACCAATATTGTCACATGGCTTCTTGAAACGGGTGCCAATCCTAATTATACTTATTTTGGAAGGACTCCGCTTCATCTCGCAATAGAAAAAGACTATGGGGATATGGTTAAATTACTTCTCAATTATAATGCTAACCCTGATTATCCTGACCCATACGGCGGGACCACTCCGCTTCATCTTGCGATATTGTATCAGAATGCTACTATTGTTAAATGGCTTCTCGAAAAGGGTGCCAATCCTCACTGTGCTACTCAAGATGGAAAGACTGCGCTTCATTTCGCGACACTTCAAGGCAATGAGGCTATTGTTAAGCTACTGCTTGACAAAGGCACTGACCCTAACTCTACTGATTACTATGAAATGACTCCGCTTTCTTTTGTTACACTTGCAGGCGATGAGGCTATCACTCAGCTTCTAATTCATCACAAAGCCGCTACTTTTGGTAAAAGAGGCAGCATTTTAAAAAAGGGATCCGAGTTATCCAATCAATTACTGGATAGACGCTATAAACAATTCAAGAAACTATACCCAGGTACCCTTGCTACCTCAGAGGAGGGTTTAGCCTTAATGTTGCATGTCGCTTTTAAAGTACACGCTTGGAAACGATGGCTTCAGGTAGTCTTAGAGCTTCTTGAGAGTCAAGCAAGTTTATTCATGAAACAGGCAAGCCAGTCAGGCTGTGAAGTCACTACTAAACAAAGAAACCTGTTTATACTTATCCCGCATCTGATGTTTTTCCGTTATGGACTTCATCCTTTAAAATATACAACTTGGCTTTCAGAACTCAGATTAGCCTTAAAGTTAAAGACACCTTCGAAGCCCTTCCAGCTTTCAAGAGTTTCATAGCTGGGCGGAAAAACTAATTAAACTGCTCCACTCTGAGGACAGAAAAATAATAAGCTCTGAGGGCAAGCAAGAGTTTGTATGGTCTTGGCAAGCACTGAATCAAATAGCGGAGCGCTTTCCCCGAGAAATTGTGGATCATTGCTGTCTTACAGCCTGGCAGACGTATATATCCCATCACGTAAAAGAGGTACTTCCTCAAGAATACTTCATTGACAAAGCGCATAAACACCTCGCTAGTATAGAGGAGGCGCAGTATCGTTCTTGGATTGAGCTATGGATAACCCGCTACAAACAAATAAGTCCGTTCGAGCTGTGGACTAAAGCAGGTTATCCTCTTGAAGCTCATGGTACTAATCCCACTCTTCTTTCTTTAGAGAAACCTTAAACTAAAAGAGAAAATTGTTTATGTTTTCCTGAAGACATTTAGCTACTTTGTTAGATTAAAACCCAAAACAATTGTTAAATAATATTGTATAAAATACAGCATTTATTTACTATACTATAGCACTGATAAATTACATATACTACCATACTACAACCGGGTCCCTCGTAAACTGTTAATTCTTTATAGGCAGCTAGTTCTGTTACAGTAACTGCTACAATAGTGATTATTGGCCTAATCATTTGTCCTGTTGGCTTAACAGTATAACAGATCGTTATATACAGTCAAAGGCGAAATAGGTGTCGCGAATTAACTAGATAAAGATTATAAAAAGGGTCTATTTTAATTAAATTATAGCTTAATACCCCTGTTATTTTTATACTTTATAAATACTAGTATAATCTGTAAAATAATAATTAGTAAAGGAAAAAAATTATTTTTTAAATATTTATTAATAAATATATTTCATTTTAGCTCTAGGTTAATGTTTTATCAGTAAGTACTTCTAGTACTTTAGTAATATAATACCTAAGGCGCGCCCTAGCGTTATATTAAACCAGCTATAGTTATATTAAATACTGGCTTATTATAATTGACTATAGATTTGCAATATTTATTTTGCCTTTTACTGTAATATATATATATATATATATATATATTACAGTAAAAGGCGAAATAAGTATTGCGAATCTATAGTCAATTATACACTCAGGTGCCAAAAGTCTGCGCTACTAGAGACCCCACTAGTATATAATAATAAACTACTAAAAATAACACCCAATTTTTAAACAGCAATTATATAATAATAAAATCTTAAAAATACATGCTTTTAATATTAAAATAAACAGAAATTACTAAAGAAATAAAAAATTTAATTTAAAGTAAAAAAATATAATATATAAGGCGGTATTATACAGTAACTTTTATATATATATTATAGCTAATTTTTATATTATATAGTTAACTATATAAGTAATTTAATAGCACTAGCAGGAAAATAATATTATAGAAAAAGAGCCTTATTTAAGTTAGCTAAAGAAGCTTTTAAAAGTAAAGATTTAATATATTATACTTTTATTTAAAAAGAATTAAAAAATAATATAAAGTATATTTATTAATATAGTTAATAATTATATAACTTTATATATAATTTATTATATTTTTTTAATATAAATATAAGTGTAATTAAAAGTTAAGATAGTAGATTAAAATATTAAAAAAAATAGCAGAAGTTAGTGTAACGATCCGTTATACCGTTGAGCCAACAGGGCAAAGGATTAGGCCAATAACCACTATTATAGCAGTTACTGTAAAAGAACCAGCTACCTATAAAGGATTTGTAGTTACAGAGGACCAGGTCGTAATAAAGCTAGAGTGCTGCTATTATATATACTCTATATTCTTTAGCTATTTCCCACTCTGATAATACATTCGCTACATTAATAAGGTTTAATGCTCTTTATAATTCATCTACGTCGCCTCTCTCAGGACTTTTAATGTATTTAGCTATTTAGTCACATCCAATCGCTTATAGTTATAGCATTTAGCCCTTTGAAAGTATCCAGTGGCAGACTTATAGTCCTTTAAGGTGCAACTAGCATCTGGGCGGTATAAACAGAGAGGTTATCAAGCTACAGCCTAAATAATAATAGGTCTTTTCTATTATTATTATCTAACCAACCCGCGACACCCTTTTCGCCTTCTGCTGTAGTTTAATACAACCGGATATAACTTGTATTTAATAACATAGCTATATATGCAGAGAATTATGTTTGAGAGAAATGATAAGGCACTGTCGGCCCCAGCCGCATTGTTACGTGAGGATCTAGACTCACATAAGCGGCATAAGTGTTATTATCTATATCTTCGATCGTTTTAAGATGATACAGATCGATCATTAAAGTCTCTTCAGGAAGCGACCGCTGAATGATGCTGGTGCAAAGTTGCCGTGCGCTCGAAAGCCAAGACTCAAGAGGGTCTGTGGCATCCATCAGACGTTTACGCAACTCAGAGAGTATGTGTTTTCTATTCTGGTGAATTACATCGGGCGACAGCGCCGGGATAGCGAGAAGTAAAACGAATTTACCTTCGCCCCACTTCTCATGGCCAATATTGCACAGGTCTTTCCAGAACTCACATTGAGATGATATCTTCTTCATTTTACTAATACAATTACCGTCTGCTTGGTGTTTCATTTCTGAGCGGAGTGCGCTATCATCATCGTTGAATGATTCCATCTTATGGCGGAACAACACTGCGTTATATCTCTCATGAAATTGGCTTGCAAAATGCGCATTTCGAACAGATCTCTTCTTCATTAAATGCCAAAGAATGAGCAAACTTTTTTCCTTGGATGCCTCGGTAGAGCGGTATACTGAAATCGCTGTGCATAGAAGATCTAGAATACCTTTACGATCGTTGAAAAAGATTGGATTCGAAATATGTGGCCTTGCACGAGGAATAAGAGAACTACGAGTCGTTCTCTCAGCCGAAGAACGACTGCGAGATTGGGAAGACGTCATTGGACTATTATTAGTTATGTGAGACTCTCGAGTACTTTGCCTAGTCGATGTAGGGCTGTGGGTTGGAGTGGGTGTGTCAAAGTTAGGGCTGGTTGTTTGAAAATCAGGTATTTCGCTTGAATGCCTATCTTCGTCCCAACCAATGATTGCATCCTCGGGTGGTTCTGACACGCTTTCTAAAGCTAAGCGTGACTCGCTATCTATAACTGAGCGGCGCTTATGTATAGTACTAGGGAGATTGCGGACCTTCTCATCATTGGGATCGATTTGTTCGCAAAGGAGTTCAACTGTCATACGAATACGAAAAGAGTGTTGTATATCTTTCGCTGCCTCCTGACTTAGATGGGTATTCCCTTCCTGAATACGGCGAATCCCCAGTAGCGTATATATTGCCGATTCGTCTTCATTTTGTGCTTTAGGTCCTGTCCAGCTGAATTGTACAGCCCTTGAGCCTGAGGAGATTAGTGAGGGAGCATATGATTTATTACCATAATAATGAATACAGTCGGGATAAGCAACTGCAAAACTCCAGGCGTGCTCATTTCGAATAGGTATTATTGTAGCCGAATCTGGTCCCTCGTTTTGGAAGTCGCTGACTGCTCCCTTAATGTAACGAACATTTGATATTTTTATTCTGTGGTCTCTCTGTCGAAGGAAATGAAGGTATTCGACTACGAGTTCATCTTCGACCGTGGAACCTTTTGCAAGTGAATCCAACCAAAGTGCATACGGATTTTCAGAGTCAATAAATGATGTCATTACGTTAACTTTAAGATTCCATTCATCCACAACGAGTAGCCCAGTAGTTTCAATAATAATGTCGTCCTCTGCGGGCTGATATGAAGAGCCTCTGGCCTTCTCTAACCACGGCGCAGTAGGGTATCGCTGCCGAGCGACCTCCAAAGCAGCCTGTGCCATGTTAAAGGAAGTGTAAGAAAATGGAGCAAGAGCGAGTTCCTTAAAATCTTGGCAATCCATCTTTCTTGGACCGTGACAATTCTGTGCATCATCTTAGACGTTTATATGTCTGTGAAAAAGGTCGTTCCAAATGTCAACTCTTGGCCAGTGAACGGAAATGACCAAGTGGACTAATTGAGGGTGGCCGCTAATGTCTGTATTTCAAGCATTGCACAAAAGTTCCAACAAACCCATGTCTATAATTGGGTGTTCTTAGACTCGTAGTGCAATATAAATGGTTTACATTCCCTGCCACACAAACAACTACAACAGAATCTTATGACTCTATCAACAATGGGAAATTGTCAGGAAACAAGCCCTGGTGTTACTAGGAGACCGCGTTCAAATACAATGCAAGGCTGTCCGCCACCTCGACGGCCCACTCCTCGGCCCACTCCTCGGCCACCTCGGCTACAGCTGGGTGTTGCATCGTCTGAGAAGTTCCCGGAATTAAGGTACGGAGATATGGTGGAGGAATGGGTTAGGACAATGTCACCAACAGATAAAGTCTCAGTTGAAGAAAAAAGTGAAAAGGAGCAGAAAGGAGCGTCGCTTTGAAGTGAGATAATTTGTGGGTCACATACTCTACTCAGTGATTCTCTCTCAATCATAAGAGTTCAATAGAGCCTATATAGTCCGCACCAATATCACAAATCAGACTATATCTTGTTAATAACATCTTAGATGGATTGAAATGTAGATCTCCAGGCCGGTACAATAATCCATAAAGCTCGGCAGTCTATCTCTTAGGCTAATCACGTTTAGCATATGGTATTAATTGAATAGGTAACTAAATACTTCAATAAAATATATACTATTCCATGAAAAATAGCACAATAGAATCTGAGGCAGGGGAAGATGTTAAATGCAGCTAAACGAAGGATTTGAGCCTCTCAGCGTAACAGGAAGCATTTAAGATAGCGCGATAGTGAGCAGAATTTAAATATCTATTTAGGCCCTAAAATTTAGATTTACCTATTTTTTATGAAAATATAACATTTAAAACATAGTCAAGGTCGAAATGGGTACAGTAAAAGGCAAAATAGATGTCGTAAATCTATACTTAATTATAATAAGCCAGCATTTAATATAACTGTAGCTGGTTTAGTATAGCGCTAGAGCACGCCTTAGGCATTATATTACTAAAGTATTAAAAATACTTAAAATATTAACCTAAAGCTAAAATAAAATATATTTATTAATAAATATTTAAAAAGTAATTTTTTTCCCCTATTAATTATTATTTTATAGATTATATTAGTATTTATAAAATATAAAAATAACAGGGGTATTAAGCTATAATTTAATTAAAATAGACCCTTTTTATCATCTTTATATAGTTAATTCGCGACACCCATTTCGCCTTTGACTGTATCGCGGAAAACTACAAGCTAGCCTGCGGATAATTAATACCTAACGCGTGAGAAACCGTAGAGAGACATGACACTAACAAAGAAGAGCCGGAACTAGATTGTGCCAATATATGGGCTACTATGAGGAAAAGTCATAACTTGAAGGCCATTTATGTAACATAGATTGATAGTTGCCCTATTGGAGGAGACTCCACCGGGCGTAATAAATTGTGTGTGTGTGTGTGTGTGTGTGTACATATCGCGGATTAGCTACATAATGGTTATAAGAAGAATCCATTTTTAGTGAGATTGTGGCTTGATACCCTTGTCAGTTTGTACTTCGGAGGTACCGTTACAAGTTGTAGAATGACATAACCAACAGGTGGAATAAACCACTTTTTGGACGTTTGTTAATACTTACTTACAATGGCCTAAGGTTGTCTTGTATCATGAATAGCGTTTACCGATACATAACAAAATAAGTAAGTACAGTATATATTTAGAAGAACAAAGAATACAGGAATGTATTATTTTACGCCAAAACAGCTTCCTCTTTTTTCACACTCTTTAAAAGTTCAGTATATACCAACATTATTATTTACAATTAAAAAAACTCTATATAGTATATTATTTATTAAAAATATCTACATGCCACTCTTTAGCTTCGCAAATCGTGTATTTAAAGGGTTATTTACAATATTAAGCCTAAGGAAGATACTAGCTATTACCTGAGTATACTTTAAAAGACAAGCTTTAAAGCCCCACCCCGCTTTCTAGGGAAGTTACGGTAGGTAAAGGCAGCCATTTTTAGCTGCACGGTCCGAATATAAGTATTGAGAAGTACTCAGAAGTACTCTTTCCCGCTAAATTTTAAAAAGAGTGTAAAGAGGAAGCTCTTTCTGCGCAAGACAATATTACTACCCATAAAGCCTCTCTGTCAATCCTACTCTTAGCCTTAGTGAAAGAAACGAAGAGAAATTGAAACGAAAAACAATGACTGAGAAACCACATCCCAGGCTTGGTGTCGCTGCTGTTATCAGCAATGCAGAGGGCAAATTCCTCGTTGGCAAACGCAAGGGCGGCCTCGGCGCAGGTAAAGCCTTTATTTCTCTTTGATACATGTAATTGAAATGCAGAAACATCGGAGGGGAAAGGAGAGAGTAGAGTCAGAAATGCAGAGAGCATTATAATTGATCAAAATGATATTTGGAGAAATTATTATATGGAGTTGCTGACCAAACGTGGAAATATACAGGCACATTGGGGTTTCCGGGCGGTCACCTTGAGCATGGTGAGCAATACAAAGTGTGCGCAGAGCGAGAGACGATGGAGGAGACTGGTCTGGAAGTTGAGGCTGCTGAAGAAGTGTTTGCCGTCACCAACAATATCTTTGAGACGGAGGAGAAGCACTACTGTACACCGCGATCTTTATACACTGCAAGATGAGAAATCCTGGTGCCGTACCTCGGGTAAGTTAATTCGACACCTTTGTTTACTGTCACTGCGAAGAAATGGAGTTGAGAGCTAAGGAATAGGAATTTTATGTTTATTACAGGTTATGGAGCCCGAAAAGTGCGAGGGGTGGGAGTGGAAATCGTCGAATGAGCTGAAGCAGATTGCGGAGGCAGCGAAGCCCGATTCTTGTGGTGAAAGGTTGTTTTTGCCTCTGGTCAATCTGATCAAGAAGGTATTGTCAGAAGACATGGATCTTAACGCCTACATTATGAGTCGATGAGGTAATGCATAGCTTATTATTTCTTCCCCTTCTTTCTTCTTCTTAAACATCTCTACCTTTTGACTTTCGCTCATGAGGCGTCTTTATTTATGATGATTCTTTAATATACAAACATAATTACAGTATTCATAGATTGTTACAATGAGATGTCAAATGTCTGCTCTGTAACAAAACACGTTTTTTACCCCGTAGCACATTTTCGCAACTTAATCAACCTTCAGCATCAGAAAAGTAATTCTTAGAGAATTACTATATTATCCAACGTGTGTAGGGTTGTAAATTAGACTAAAAAGTAAATTCTGTTTTGAAAGAAAAGGAATCTAAGTATAATTTTATGCATGCTTTTTATAACAATTGGAGATCGCTACTATGTGTGCATATACACATAACTTTACCTTGGGTATTATGTAAAATTTTCCTTATTCGCTATTTGTTTTTAGTTATGTACAGCGTGGGTGGGCGCGTGTATCCTTCGGCGGGATAAGCTACATTTCGCTAGGTGAATCGCGGCATGGCTGGGGCGCCTAGGCAGATCTCGTCTGAGAGGTAGTTGGTTAGACTCCACCATGGGCAGCTGATTTTCACCTTTGATATCCCGAAGTCTAGTTGTCGACATTGGACGTTTCTGGGAACTGAATAAACCGAAAGTAGGAAAAAAAGGCAGTTCTATCTCCCGCCAGGCACCCTGAAATGGGTATGTAGCATGGAGATGCACATAAATACTTGAAAACTCATGTTTAACGTGAACAATATCGAACGCATCAAAGTTATTGTTATAATCATCGCAGGCAAAATGCCCCCTCCAGTGTACGATGAAACATGGTTAGACAAGGTATCCGAACAAATACCTGAGCAGAATGTAATTAGCCACAGGAATGGCTTATCAAGATACGAAGAGATGATTCTTGAAATTGATAATAGTATAAACCCTTACTATTTCATCTTCGCAGGTTTCTGTTCTTGGTTATTGTTGGCAGGATTCCTCGTATCACCATCTACATATGCCTCTGTGCAACACACAAATGCTCTTGACAAGTCAGGAGAGGTTGGAAAGTCTATAATAAATGCCGTCCGCAATGTTCCTCTAATCTACATCGCTTCCTTTGCGTGTCTAGGTGCTACAGTGGGCTTGATCTGGCTTTGGCATAGATGGCGTCTCAATCATATCTGGATCAGTCGTTATCTAATCGTGTAAGATCCATTCTTAAACCTACTACATTATGCAGACTGAATAACAGATTAAGCCCCACGTTAATGCATTCCGCTGTAGGGCTTGGAACGGCTATCCTAAACATTTACAGCATTCAAGGCGGCCAATGGTCGATTACTGCAATAGTCACGGTTAGTATAGTCGGAGCATGGCTTGTAATATCTGTTGGGCTTTATATATTGTATAACTTTTTTCTGTTGCCACGTCTGAAGGAACTTCCAGGTACAAGAATGATTTGATGTTGAAGTTCATCTCAATAGATTTTAGAGAGAAACGTTTTTAATTCGCATGTAAATGTATTGAGTATGTTGCACTATAAGCATGTAACTCTACATTGATACAGTCAAAGGCGAAATGGGTGTCGCGAATTAACTAGATAAAGATTATAAAAAGGGTCCATTTTAATTAGATTATAGCTTTATACCCCTGTCGTTTTTATACTTTATAAATACTAGTACAATCTGCAAAATGATAACTGGTGGAAAAAAAAAATTACTTTTTGGACTTTCATTAATAGATACGTTTCTGTTTAGCTCTGTTGGTTAATGTTCTTGGTACTTCTAGTACTTTGGCAATACAATGCCCGGGCGCTCTCTAGCGCTGTACTAAACCAGCCACAGTTGCATTAAATGCTGGCTTATTATAATTAAGTATAGATTTGCGACATACATTTCGCCTTTTACTGTAGTTTATACCACGTATAATTGCTTGCAGTTGCGTAATCCTCATTATTAAGACAAGGGAAAGTGAGCAGTTTATGTCGAAAGATTTTTGGAAGATTATCCTACCATGGTTGTCCAATAGTGATCATCAGATCTCTTAGTCCGAAAGATATTAAAGTATTTATTACTGCATTTACGCAAATTATTCATACCTCCAACTTACACTCTAACCACTGCCATGAAAATCCTTTGTAGACGTCCTGCTTGGATACACAAATTCTCTGTTTGGATATCTTTACGCAAATACTTTGTTTTGTTAGTGTTACACATTATACCAACTACATTGGTACTCTATTTCTCGTGTATATTACTCTCCAGTAAAGGACACCAATCAGAAGGCTTAATAAAGATTGTGGTATGTTACATAAATTCTCTCTCCACTTTCCATATCCTAGTGCACATAACCAATTAACATTCACCTAAGTTTGACGTGAAACTTCCCCGTAGGGGCCTTCCCATTTCTATCCCACAGAGTATTCCCGACACCATCCCGCAGGATCTTCCTGATACTGTTTCTCAAATTGGAAGCAAAGTAACAGGTCTTGGAAACCTCATACCATCTCAGATAAACAGCGCTATAGCTTCTGTGGAGACAGCTGTAGGCCAAGTCTTCCAGAGTATTCCGACAGGCTACTCTGTCGGCACAACGTCAGCGTGCATAGAGGACGACTCAGGTACAAAATGTCGAAATTTTCCCATAAAATCATCAGACTTGCCAGAGATTTTCCTAAGAATACTTTCTTTTTCGCGGCCTCTGAATTCATTGATTAATTTCTTGGACGATATACATTCTCTCGAAGTGATTTTAATCCTGGGGCTTACATTCAATATTGTCTCCACTGTCACATATGCTCTTGTGTACTGGCTCCCAAAGCTACGCTATATATCCTTTGGACTAAGCATATTTTCGCTCATATGTTTAGCCATGTTCACTTATTTTACACAGAAAATCATGAACTTTGGGGCCAAAATCGGGCAGATTGGTACGGTGCAGCGTGGAAACACATATTATGGACTTATCGGTTCGATCCCACATTTTCTAATTTCATTTACATGTGTATTTGTCAAGACAATCACGGTCCGTATGCCAGAAAATGCATAATTGCTCTGAGTATGCCCACACGCCACCATGATGCGAGAACTCTATAGTGGCTGTCACGCCTTTCAGTCGATCAACATCAGGAGTCCAATAGGTCTACTGGATTTATTTCCTATGATAAATGAGTAATATGGAGAAAAGGTGAGGGTATATAAGGTTGTACACGACTAGATGGTATAGTGTATACGTACTTGAGTTGGTATCCAAATTATATATTAAAGATTGGTACTGCTAGTTACAAACAGTTTGCAGTTTGCATAAATCCTTAAGCAGCTATATGAAATAAGTACATGAAACACTTGACTAGTTTTAATCTTCATAGATATAGCGCCCAGGATTGAGCTTTCATTTGACATAGAGATTCAAAACCACGTCACGATGTGCATATTAGATATGTGGAATAAATTGTTTATTATAATTTACTTTACAGTACTCATACAGTAAAAGGCGAAATGGGTGTCGCGAATTATACTTAATTATAATAAGTAAGCATAGAATACAACTGTAGCTGGTTTAGTACAGCGCTGGGGCATTGCATAACGAACCATACACTAGATAGTTAGTATAGGGTAGATTCCCAAAGGATAAACCTAGAATAAGTTCATTAAGTTGATGTTATACTGTCAAAGGCGAAATAGGTGTCTGTCTTTTATTAAATAACTTTATTACGTCTTGCGGGGCCATGATGTAACTTATGTCGCTAAGTGCAAGAAGTACCAGTACTGCCTAGGTATTAGGTAAGGTATTTTACACTTGTGAGAAAAACAGGCCGATTACAGCAGAAGAATATGGATAGTGCATGCCCACCTACTATTTAATTAATATTACTTTCTCTCGCTTCTCTTTTTATTATCTCCAATCTTTACATAATGTAAATACATAGCCAAATACAGCTTTTTATAAATATAATAATAGCGCCATAACTAGTTCTATCCTTAAGTGTGACGTTCTGATCCTATACCTAGTATAGGGTAGCTAGTTTTTAAAAAATAAACCTCTAACATTAGGTTTATATTAGCAGAGAAATATAAAGGATTTTGTAAGTAGTTTTAGTTATATAGCTAATAACTTTAAATAAAAGTTTAATTTAATTATTATATAAATACTATATTAATAATTAATTATTTAGGCTATATTTAATAAATATAATAAATAGTTTTATAAACTTACTTTATAATATATTTAAATAGCTAGTGAGCCTAGCACCTTAATGTTATAGGCTTACTTCCTTAATGCTTCTTTTATAGGTAAGCCGTCCTTCTTTAGCTATAATTAGCTATTAATTCTAAGGTTCTGCCGGAGGTATGTACTTTGTGGGTCTTATGTGGTTGGTTCGTGACATTAAGCTTGTGGGTGGATATGTAATATTATAACGTCCAGAAATGACTTCTTTCTGTTAGTCTTGTCTAAAATTAGCTACTTACTATTATCCTTATTTAATAAAACAGGGACACCCATTTCGCCTTTGACAGTATACTGAACTCCTATTAAGCTTGTTATTTGTGACGATGCCCCTTTTATGGAAATGCCGCTATAAATGCAAAGAATGCAGAAGGAAATGGAATGATTATACACCGTATCATATCTATGAGGTTATTACAATTTTTGGTTGGCGAAATTTTGTTTTATATGTGGTGAAAAGAAATCCTCTCAGGATCCGTCATAAAACTCTTTGCTCTGACTGCCGACCGAATTTGCTGCCGAGACTACCACAGCAACAGAGAAGCACGATTATTTATGAACACCATCACTATTATCACGAAGAGCAGGAGCCCAGTCGCAGCTGCCCGCCGTCATATCCTATGGAACTCCCTGCTGGTCCTATTATTTCAATCAGTTGAGATATTCGAAGGTAGAGATATAACAACTTATAATTTTATGGAGAGATAATAATCTAAGCAATGATATGATCGCATAATTTATAAATAAGTTTTCCCTTAAAATATCTTGAATTACATAGTATAGTATTAATACAATAATGCAGCTTGATGACCCTCCCTGCGACAATTGGTTCCTTTAACCCGATAGCTGAGCTATTCGCCGGGCCACTGTAGATATACTGCAAGGTACTCTAACGCTTCAAGAAAGTAAAATCTCACTCGGTAAACAAGTCACCTTGAGTCGAAAGTGCTGAGGAGCTTTAGGCTGCGACCGAAGGCTGTGCGTTGGCCATGAGGCAACTACTATTCTACCTTGGAGAAATACAGAACCTTCGCGGGAAACGCGGCGCCTAATAGTGTTATACCTAGATAGAAGTGGACGAAAACGTGAAGACATATTTGTATTCTGCCAAGCTCACTACGTACTGATTAAAAAAACATGGAGACATGGAGGGATATTGCTATCTTTTCAATTCTGAATCGCTACAGGCTATCCACCGAGTGCACAACATCAATGCCATGAATTAATGTTGCTTCTAAAAATGCTTTTCGTGATTGGGACCATAAACGACTTTCTCAAGATCTCTGTCTATTCTAAGCGAGGAACGCTGAGCAATAGAGCTGGATTATTTGTCTGTCATTTAATTCCAATAAGACATCAGGTCCAAAGCCATTTGGGGTCTTAAAGAGCTCGATTCTAATATTGTCTAGCATATTATTGCTGTACAGCTAGGAGCGAAATAGCCGTCCTATAGATATCAACTGTCTAGCGCACGAACATGTATAATACAGTGTTAATTATTTTACCTTGCACGCAGTACTTAGAGCGATACTAACTTTTGAAACCGGATTTATATTATGCCGAATCATACATTCTGTACCTTAGACAGCAGTAGACCAGCAAATCGTAGCGGATCCTCGCTATCTAACAGCGGCCAGTACTAGCTGCTTCCACAGGCCGCGCTGCTGACCTCATTGTTCTCTGTCCCTCCCCTCTCTTCAATCACTTATGCATCCACTGTTTAAGTGGTAAAATAGTGTTCATGTTGTCAACTCATGTGTGTATTTTCATTTTGCGGTCCCTTGTTTTTTCGCACCGCTGTAATAGTATTAAGTTGCATAGTTGAGATTTCCCCAGCCGGGCGAGGCGGTGGCATGTCGAAATCGTTATCTTCAGCATGAATCCAGTAACTGTTGAATTCATGTACTCGAACAATGTCCTTTATAGGAATTGCTTTTCTATAACCATCAAGAAGATCACGCTTGGTGTATTCGTTTCGTGCTGACCGAATTTCCGCTATACGTACTGCATTTGCTAGATACAGCGGCCTCTTAATGTTGATAACTGTAACATTTGATATACTGAGCGGTCTGTGTTTGTGTAGCTGATAGTCAATCAATACAACAAATATTTCCGACGCCTGGTTACGAGCCATCAATTCTAAGATGAAGGTATACTCTCGCTGATTGCATTTCACTTTTCGTGATAATCCACTAAGAACGGCGGGAAAATGCCAATTTCCAGTCTGCGGCTGAATGTAAATGTCGTAGTATTACTCTCCCACACCCTCGAGCCAAGGCTAAATCCATCGCACTTGAAATTGATATCCAGTGCTTTAGCTTTTCTGATGAAACAAACTAGCTCTGGCACGGCCTTTTCGACAAAACTCGACTTGACCCAAACAGGATCCGAGAACCTGACGTACTCATTTTCTGCAGCTAATCGAGAGGGAGCCGTTCTGAGGAACATTAAAGGGATAATTAAAGATAAAGATGTCTGGTTTCTTAAGCGTTGGCCTTTGTGGTCTACTAGAACAGTGTATCCGATTGCGTGATCGATTGGATCTCTCCGGATCCTTAATGTCGTTTGCAGGCCTTGCGGCGTTAATGTAGAATTGAGGTTCACAAATGAATGTATTTCCTCCTTCATTGGGCATACCAAACTTGGATACTTCTGGAAATTGGCTGGCGAAGTAGCCAGACCATTAGATGTAAAGTCAGTGTCAGTATCTATATAGCTCCATGCTAGTATAGAGGCATCATCATTTACTTTAAGTATTTCCTCTTGGAGGCGCTGAAATGCTCGCTCTCTTTGGCCATATAACATCGGCAGATTAATCTTAAAGAGGCCGAGTAGCGAGTAAGCACGATCCTCAACTCGAGTAGTCCGTCGCTTCGAGGCCCAAGCCATAACGCTTCCCACTCGGAGTGTCTCTAAGTTTGTTTCTCTAATTAAGTTTTTGACACTAATTTTCGTCACTTCGTTGATGCTCTTTTTCAAATCTCGGGCCGTGCCAAACTTCTTCTAATTTCCATCAACAAATATAACATTCTCTGGGGCGATCAGCTCTTGAAGTGTCCAACCGCGAGTGAACCATAGAGAAGCCTTAAATGACTCGAGGAATGGCGCCCTATACAACGACTTGCCTCGCCCATCGACGTTGTGATTAGGGGCAGGTACATCCGAGAGGTAGGCATAACAGCCTCTAGATTTCCTATACCATTGGCACATTGAGTTAATGGCTTCTTGGAGTTCAGCGCTGCTGGATTTATTAATGCAAAAGGTGTCAACCCATACATATTTATAGCCATCCCTCAGCGCCAGCTGACGGAATTGGTCAATTTTGCGGAAGCCTTGCTTGTTCTCATGCTTCTTTGTGTTACGCATGTCTTGGTAAGAGATCTCGTTGGATTCCCATCTATGCGACAGAATTGCATAGTGTGGGATATCATTGCTATAGAACTCGAGAATTGGAGATTTTTCGTGCTCAGTAAACGCATCTTCGCGATGATGGGCGGAGATATATTGAAACTAACACACGTTTGGTCCGAACATTCGGCTGAATTTTAATGGCGCGCCAAAAATCCAAATATTTAGCGGCCCAGGAAAAAATGACAATTTATAGTTTTCGCGCCCGATCCCACGGTGGCACTATTAGGTTGACACGATGGAAGCGATGCAAGAGATAGAGAGGCAGGCCAGCGAACAGGCAGGGAGCAAAATGGGATCCTACACATTGGACAGTAGTTTACAACAAAGGCGCGTCGTCAAGAGGTGATGAGTTAGTTCATCCTAATAGAGCGAAGCAGTAAAGAACCGTGGCGCTCTTGGTAATCCGCCGTCGAAGTGGGACGGTTTTGTGGAGCACAGCCTGCTATCGAGAATCAGCGGCCAACCAATGCCGCCATCAATTACAGGTTTGGATATCAAGCTGCGCCTCACGCTAGGCTTTGTGCAAGGTACTGCGCAAGGCTCACTGCGTATCTTTCCTTAAAACAAGAGAGCCTGAGGCGTGGCTTCGGCGTGCGAGGATGAACCTGCCTGAGATACTTGACTATTGGCTGTACTGTGTTCGCTTCAGCAGGCTCCCGGGCGTCGGCGGCACAGGAGTTTCATAACCAAGATCTTTACTGTCGAATATCAGTCAATATGCGCCCGAAATTTTAAGCTTAGGTAGCGCGGTAAGTTTCTTCATCTTCGTCTTTATTTGCATTTTCTCCGCTAACATTTATGGTAAGCTTTACAACCTGTGAGAGACATTTGCTCCCGTGAATCATCTAGGCTTAAGACTTCCAGCATGACCTTTGCGCACATCTCAGTGAACTCCTTATCATTCATCTGCCCCGAAGTCGTATACTTGACTCTTAGAACGCTTTCGATCATACGCCGTAGTCCCTCTTGTCCATCATGTGGTATGATTTCCCATTTCTCTCCATCTCGCACATTATAGAGCATGATACTTCTTAACCCCAATAAGTAGGCATAGGTGCATGCTTGTAAGACATGGCTGTTAGAAAGGTGCGAGACAAACTTAATCTCCCAGATAGAATCAGCGCTTCTACTACCGCTGCTGTCTGACGGGGGAGCGACTGCGACAATATCGGCTTGACCCTGAAGGCGGGTTTCATGATCATCAACACTGAACGTTTGCTCGGCTTTAACTTCAAACCGAAGATTTGCGGCGTCATTTCCTAGTTCTCCTTGCATCCTATTTCGGGCTAAGGCCAAATCTCTAGGCATCATCCAATCAAATGCATGATTTTTCATCTGAATTTTTCGAGGTAGATAGCCCGAGATGCCAGCCTCATATTCACATGCGTAGCGACAAAGCCAAGAGATATACTGTAGTGAACCGATGGGGGGTATTGCTTCGATGAAACTTTGGTCGATTTCCAGCGTATTTAGAGTTCCAGTAGTACTGTGCTCGAAAGCCGCGACGGTGACAAGCCCATTTATATCGCTCACAGCTTCGTAGAATCTTTTGCGTGGGTCTGAAAGTACGACATTAGGTATATTAATGTGCTTTTGCTTGGGTAGCGGCGGGGAAAGTTTTTGGATGCGTAGTTCACGAGTAATAATTCCATGCAGAGGTTCGTCCTGTATATGTCGGACCATATCTTGAACGCTGATGGAAGCTGGCAGAGTAAGTCCAAGCTTTAGAGGTTGGCCAGGTGAGTTGGGCAGAGAAAGCTTCGCCATATTATTTGTCATGTTGATAACCTCGGCTGTTTCGTATAGCGCCTTCACAGATATAAATGGCATAAGCTTCTTGCTTTCGTCGTGGACTATAACAAGCTGTTTTCCAGCACGTGTTAGAGCCACAAAAATCTCATTGGGGCACCTGTCGTTTGGAATATCGCGGCCAAAATGCTCGAAGAACGAGGAGTCGATACCGAAAAGAATGACTAAATGACGCTCGCTGCCTTTAAACTGATGGATAGTAGAAACACACATCTTCCCATAAGTCACTCTATCGTCTAGAGCCACCTCGTCATTGATTGATATAGCAATTGGAATGCGATATTTCTTAGACAATATATTAGTCAAGAGCTGCAATTGCTTATTCTTTCTCAGAGACGGTGCTATCAATGCGCTATTCTTTGCTCCATAGCGCTTGATGAGGGCTGACAACTCCTTAGCTAACGCATAGCTATCATAAGGATCGCATCTCAGCACGATAGGTTTAGGACCGGGTTTTGAGCTAGAAATGTATGATTCGTCATTGAGAAAAACCCGATTGACAAATTGAACTAAATGATCGGATAGCCGAAAGCTTTGGCTCAAAGGAATCTTAACGAATGGGTAGGGACTAGTATGAGCAAATAATTGAGGAGCTAGTGAGAGGTAGCGATGATCAGCACCGCGAAATCGATATATAGATTGCCGCTCGTCACCTAGTACGACAAGTTGGGGAGAATGGCCGTCAGCCTCCTGTTTGTTAGCTAGGATGAAGCAATTAGTTAGCCAGTAGATAATTTCAGTACAATCCTGAAATTCATCCAAAACGATAATATCAAATGGCGTAAAATTCCATCGAGGAAGCGCATTACAACGAAGGACTCTCCTTCTTTGTTCTAATAGTTCAGCATCATTACGCACAACAGCTCCAAAAAGCACGCCGGCCATCCCGTGAAAAGTGAAAACCTCGCAATTAGTATAAGTATAAAGCCGATGACGCGTCTCAAGTTGAAGTCTCTTCGAATAAGTGATCACCGCTACTCGCTTGTCCGGATGGGCAGCGATAATAGCTTCAGCTGTAGCCGTTTTGCCAGATCCTGGCCGCGCTGACACTACCACATTTTGCATACGGCAGAGTCTTACAACTCTCTGTTGCTCAATGGATGGATTAAACGAAGGCTTTAAAGACTTCTTCTCCCATCGTTGAAGTAGGTCATGACTGTGTGTGGAGAATCGAGAAGATCTTTTAGGACAGAAAACCTGGAGCTGATATATTTAAATGCTAGCGTCAACATCGTCTGATATATGCTCCCACTGTAGATATTTTATTTACTCACTCGTGGCTTAACGATGTGCGGCAGTCGGACAATCATCTCAGTTTCAACATCCGCGAGATGGGAACATCCGGACTTTTGGTTGAGCTTAGTTTGGGTTGAATACGTGCTGATTATGATATAAGCGGGCATAATATATTAATGTTGATGATGCACATGTATAAAAGAATATGAAAACCAAGGGCTGTATCTGGAACTGCGATAGGTAGTAACCAGGCCCTGGCGAATTTGGACGCTACCACTTGGCGAGTTTGAAGGTGAGCGTTCTGTATACCTATCATTATTGATGTTATTACTAAGGGAGATGATGTAAGATTTTGAAGGTGGCGTAAACTTAATATATAGGAGCCTTTTTCAATCGTGTTATTGGGTTTTCCAGGAGCAACAGTTCATGTGAGTACCTTCAGCCAGTGCTGATTTCATGTACCGGGTGCTTCTGCAGCGATAAGTAAGATCTAGAGAAGATATATCACAATATTATGCAAATACCCTTCAACTATTTAACTTCTTATAAACTTACGGATAATTGACGTACATATGATGTAGAGAAACTATTCGCTTCCAAGGTAAATCGAAATTGTCAGGAATTAAATTTACGCATACCCATTGCGGCGTGGATTGCCGATTTGGCTGAATCTGCGTGGCCAAGTTTCGGATTTCACAGGGTTAAAAGCTTATTGTAAAATAATTGTCTAGTGAAATAAAAAGATGCACCTTGGAAATCATCAGATGAGTGCGAGCAACAAAGCTGAACTGTGGCGTATTACTAGGCGCATCCAACACAAGAAGTTAACTTAAGATCGACCATGCAGCCTTGACGCATATAATTCTTTTTCTAACAAGTACGCCTGTTTACCAGATCTAGGCCTGTTGCTAACTCAAGGATTCATCTATCAAACCACGGCAGTCTTCATTGTATGGCGCGAACGATGCTTCCGGTAGGCTTAAATCTCCGACCAAAGCGATCAAGTGGCTGATTCTGATCAGGGGAGGACTGCTCATATCGTCATCCCACGAATTGCTAAGCTACAACACTTTGCCCGCTTTTTCGGCGTTGGAAGAAAAAGTCACGGACCAGCGAAGCCAAGTGACTTACAGCTACTTCCTGAACATATCATCACTCCGGAGACAGCAGGCAGGGAAATTATAGGACCATACGATCGGGCCTTTCAGCAACACCTCATCGATTACGGCATATTTCCTCATGCTTATGAGTTCCCAGATGGTCAATTGCTGCCAAAGCTTGAAAATAAAGGAGATATCCTTCGGTCTCTGGTCCAATCCAGAGCATCGCTGGCTCATTTCTCAAACCATGACTTCCGCAAGTTCGAACTAGCAGAAGCGCAAGCAATAAGGGAGAGAGACATCACGACAAGCGTCATCCCTATCATTGAAGGAGATATAGGGGACAGAAAATGTCTCGCTGGCAAGATTCCATTCACAAATCTTGAGCATCTAACGGACGGTACGCTTGTGCCAGCCAACCCCGATATATTCTATGGTGCGCGTCCGGAACAGCTCCACCCACAAATACGCAAAGAATTGAACAGCCGTGTTGTCCCTTCTACTCAGAGCGAACTGCCTATCGCGCCGAATTTTTTCGTGGAAGTAAAAGGGAAGGACGGGTCTGCAACTGTAACTCAACAACAGCTATTTTACGATATGGCTCTTGGAGAAAGAGGCCAACAGGCTCTTCGATCGCGCAATCCCTTTTACGCTTCATACGATAACAAATCTCATACTCTCGGCTACTTGTATCTGGATGGACAATTGAAGATTTACGCTACCCATGCAATACAACCATCCTCGCCTGCTGGGCAACCAGGATTTGTTGTAACACAGCTTGGAGCATTTGCCTTGACCAACGATGTCGATACCTTTCGGCGAGGAGCCGCTGCATATCGAAATGGTAGGGACTGGGCAAAGAAGCAAAGAAATGACGCAATTGAGCAAGCAAACGAGATGCTAAGCTGGGACGAAGGCGTCAAATTCCGCCCAGCCCTGACCTTGCCGCGTCTCAAGCACTTTTGGTTCGCAGCTGTATCGAGATGGCAGCGGAGGGAGTGAATTCTTGGGATATGCATGAGCCCTGCACGGAGACCCTGTTTAACAGCATGAAGAGAAACAGTAAGGACCCACTTGCTGAGCATGGTGGAATCTAGTGTACGCGACGATAGGTCGTATATCCGTAAAATGGGCTGAGCAATTGACAGAACGCACTACCCGTCTAGATGCGCACTATCAAATAGGGCCTGAAAACCTACACAGACATGAAACCTTCAAGTTATCTCCGCGATCTTAACATCGTACCATTGCTTTAATGAGTGGGTATTGATATTAGTCTTGTTTCTTATTCGCTGATTTTATTAGTGTGGCTGTCACCATAAAATTCTTGAAATCGCTTCACTAGGTTACGAGTTTCCGATTCTCGCGGTTAGCACCGAAGATACATTTTAGGGTGTATTTCCAAAGTTCTTTCGGGGTATCTTCCGGATATCATTCATCTTAGGGCATATTTGCAGCACTATCTTAATATGGTATCAGCTTCCGTCATCTACGCTGAAAATTAGCTGAAGGGTGGCACATTCCCAGCTCTTATTTGTCGCACTGGCCTCAGTGAGGACGGCAATGAGACGCTCGTCAATACACAGTACACTGCGAGATCAATGGAATTCGTTAAAAGCTAATCGTGTGCCTGAAAGAGGGGTTAGTAGTTAGTTGTGGATCGATTAGTGCGGAGTAAACCCTTACTGCAAATAATTCGATGCTTAAGTGATACTTGCATTCAGGTCGCACGGCCCAGAGCAAGCCGCCTACCCTTCGGAATGGATCGCCACTTAAGCTTATCACATTACGGGGGGAAACTATGTTCTGTGTGACCTACAAGGTGGAATTTATTAGCGCGAGGCTGTCCTCTCTGATCCCCTCATCCTATCCCGGAATCGTGATTCTGACGTGACCGATCTTGGTTCGGGCGGCATTGGCTCATTCCTCAGCCAGCATAGCTGCGCTGCCTATTGTCATCCAGACTTTACGAAACCCGCTAAGCCGGTTCTACGCTTTAACCCAGTCCGGGGAACAGCGAGGATCAAGCCTCCTGTGCCCACGCATCCCCCCGACTGACCAAATTTTCTGACTAGTGAGTTTAGCATTGGAGCGATGCTAGTGTTTTATCAGAACTCATAGAATAGATACAAGTAGGACGAAAAGGCCATCCTGTCAAAATAAAGTCCTTCAAAACTTAACGCACGCGGTACATGAGGCAGTACAAGTCCTGAAACCGGATATATATTATGCCGGAGCAAAATGTGTGCCTGAGGCAGTAATGGACCAGGAAATTAGCGGATGGCCACGAGGCAGCTATTTCCATGAGCCAATACCATCGGGATGGCGCCGAATCTTGCCCTCAGCCAACAATATTTGATAGATAATGCAATCATCGCGAAGCTGGAGGGTGGCGATGCACCTACTGATGAGAATATAGCCAGGATAAGCTCCTCAACAGCCCGTACGGTCCACCGCCGCCGATCGAACCTAGTTCGCTTTGGAACTACCAAAGCACCATCGAACGGTGTCGGCCGACCGAGAACTGTTACCCCTAATATGCTAGCCGCCTTGCGCGATCGGCTTGTAGATTCTCCATGTATGCGTTTGAAGGATATGGTTGCATTTCTTCGCAAGGAATTTGATGCCGATGTGACTCGTTTTAGCGTCAGTAGAGCTTTAGAGAGCATAGGATATACGAAGAAGGTTACACGGAATGTTGCCAAGGAGCGTAACCCAGACTTNAGGGCCGACCATATACATGAAAGGTCATTCTTCAATTCCTGCCAATTAATTTATATTGATGAGAGTGGGTGTGATAAAAGCATCGGTATTAAGAACAAGGGATGGTCTAAGAAAGGCACTACCCCAGTACAAATTAAGCGATTACAACGTGGCCAGAGGTTCCAGATCCTCCCTGCATATACCCAAGATGGAATTATATATTNTGAAGTGTTTGAGGGCTCTACTGATAGCGAGAGATTTGAGGAATTTCTTGAGCGGCTCTTACCATTTTGTGGCAAATGGCCTGAGCCAAGATCCGTNCTAATTATTGACAATGCCTCAATCCATCACTCAGAGAGGGTGCAACAGCTCTGCGATGACGCAGGAGTAGTA